TTTGAGCATTAAAGGTGCCATTACCTGCGTTGATAAGAACACTGACGATGCTCGAAGACTGGCCTGCAACAACAATATCGGGTTTGTTATCACTATTCACATCGACGACTGCTACTGAGGATTGACCATTGCCAACAGGATAAGTAGTTTGGTTGAGGAAAAAGTTGCAGGCTATCAAATACAAAAAATTGTTCTCGTACTTGTATTGGGATATAGACACTATTCAATCCCCGTATTTTATTCACCCTTTGAGAGTCAAACTTGATTGAATATAAACTGACTGACAAGATCATGCCACTAAATTTTGGGCAATTTTAGATATTCTAGAGCGCAGCTAAAGTCATTTTTCGAGCATTCGGCCCATGTCTGTCTGCAATCTTCCCATCAATTAGAAAATCAAAGAAATCATCTCACTCTACTTGATTTTACTTAAGACTTATGCTCGTTTTAATGAACTTTCATTATCATTCATACCTTCCCAGATCGATCAAAACGGAGCCGTTTACAATGCGTTTTCGGAATGTAAACCGTGACAGAGCGCTAGCTTTACGGCCGAAAATAAACCGTTCTTATCCTGTAATCATGGGCACAGTTTTACGGCGTCATAAACATGCTGTATTCTCCTCCAAAACGGTCACTTACGGCTATGTACGGATTCAAAACGGACCGTAATACTGTGCCTGATATTACGGTCAGTATACGGACCGTATCGCTCGCCCTGGGATCGGCTCTCGCAGCGGAAGTCTGTACTAATAATTCAATGACTATAGTTTGTTATGTCTAGCTATAACACACCTACGAGAAACAACGGACTCAAACTACAAACGAATATTATTTGTTCATCGAAGTGATAAACATTTGAACGGCAAAATATCAAACGTTTTCTGATTAGTGAAACTAATGATCGCTTGGAAAGCTACAAAAAGTGCGACACATTATCTAGCATATTACTGACCGGCTGTTGTTGTTGACGTTGTCGTCGATATTGTTGTTGATGTTGATGTGGTTGTTGTCGTGGTTGTTGATGTTGTCGTTGACGTTGTTGTTGAGGTGGTTCTTGACGTTGTTGATGTTGTTGTTGTTGTTGATGTTGATGTTGTTGTTGATGTGGATGTTGTTGATGTCGTTGATGTTGCTGATGTTGTCGTTGATGTTGAGGTGGTTGTTGACGTTGTTGATGTTGTTGTTGATGTCGATGTTGATGTTGATGTTGTGGTTGTGGTTGTTATTGAGGTTGTAGTCGATTCTATTTTAGAGAAATGAAATTGAGGTTTTGGGCGTAGACGTAGATCTTTCACAATCTCTGCCTCAAGGAATGCTATAGTCCCTTAAGATTGCTTAAGTATAATACAAGTAGTCTCTTGGAGTTGTTCTCGAGAGCATAATATTCGCGATTCTGCACGAGTATTTTGTGGATCCGATATACCCTTCATGCAGTAATCCTAAGAAATTTTCACTATCAGTTCTATAGTATCGTTAAGAGAACCTCAGATCATCCCCCCCTCGTAACGTATTTCTGCGCAATTCATATTATCTAATCTAGAGAGGCAATAAGGGATCCCCAGTGGTACACCAGAGTATCTCTACAGACTCACTATTATATCCTGCATAGTATATCAAAAGAATCTCTAATATACTGCCAGGATGCTTCGAAAGGATTACTGGTATTCTAGGTACAGTACTTTTAACGAATCATTAGTATCACTACTAGGGTATCCTTCAGCGATTTATATTATTCATATTGATAGGGATATAGAAATAATAGGTATCCTTTCATATTAACCAGTTCTTCTCACAGGAGCAGGTATATCACTCATTTCATTAGAGTTTGTGAGCTTGAGCTAGTTGACTGATCCCTAAGAGATAGGACTAAATAGGGCTATACTAAAAGTAACTTTTTGAATATAGAGTTCGTGATACACTGAAAAAAAATTTCGGAGAATAATAAACCCTCAAAAATGGTTTATAACGGAAAAATTCGTTTATCAACATGCTCTACCCCTTGATAAACCTTTTTTTCCTGAAAAACCCAAGAAGGGTTTGTTATACGTTGCAAACTGATAAACCCAAGGGTTGATTCTCTCTTAATAAACCCTTTTTGTATTGATTACTCGAATCAACCCTCAAA